ATATAAAATAAAATTTAAAATTAATAGCCCCTAATTTTTAAAAGGCATTAATTGATTTGTATATATACTTTGTAATAACACATTTAATTTCTGAAGAACATGAAGATAATTACTTTATCAAAGTTTATTGATTAATTATGTGATATATTTGCAAAAGAAGAAATGTTTGTTTAGTTTTGTTATTTGAATAAAAAATGTAAATTTGTTAGAGTAATTTCTTTTTTGCATTGGTCATGTTTTTGATACACCAGTTGTATATCTTAAATAAAAATCGAGCAACTATTATCAGTCAATGTTTTAAGTATTTCAAGATTTGTGATCATGGTTATGATAGAGCAAGTAATATGAAGGAATAATTTAATGGGCTGAAAATTGTTGACCTCACTGTTGTGGGGATTTCTTCACTCCCCTTGGAAACCTAGCACTTAACCTTAAGGTTGTCCTAGTAACCTTCTTAGATGACCAGAGGAGAAAACTCAACCGCATGGAACTCAAAATCAAGGCTATGCTCATGTAGTGCTTCATGAGGTTAATGGTATAGGATTTAGCCCAGTGGAGGCCCAAGCTAACTCCTTTTAAGTAAAAAGATGCCTCTGGTTACCCATGAAATTTAAAACCCCAGGAATTCCCCAATGGACCCTGGAAATCCCATGACACCAAAGATTCAAAAGGAAGGATTGATTCACGAAAATCAATCTTTGATCTCACCTAAGGCTTTTGTAACACCATTTAACCCTAAAAATTTGAAATGAAAGCCAAACATAATCATTTGGCCTTAAGAAGTTGAGATCACCAAGGGTCACCAAAATTTTATTGGGCCCAAGTCAATTTGGATCACTTATTGGATAATTGAGCCCATTACGACAAAATCTAGCTTTATTCAAGGTGGTCAAGACCTAAGTCCACATATAAGTCAAATTTGCATTAAGGAGGTGGCCTTTATAATTAACCTAATTAATCCCAAAGTTTTATATGTGATGATTTATGAAGTTGACACCACTACAGCGCAAAAAACTTGATCCTTATATGAAAAGTAAGTTCTGTAAAATATATATAATTATAGACAATTAGTAATGGGATTCTACGAAAGTATACGTATCGTTATCAAGTAATAATGGACTTTCAATTTAAGCCCCAAATATCGATCCCAATGGGAAGGTGTAAGTTAGCAATGATAAATTTTAACATGAAATTTACAAAAAATCAAACAAAATCACTGTCACAAATTTTGAATGTTGAGATATTAACCAATCTAAATTACTTAATTATTAACAAAACATAAATGCAACTTTTAAATATTAAATACTAATCTAAGAACTGTGTTTAGGTAATGAAAATTTCCTATGTGAAAAATCATCCTTCCCACTATAATGAAATTCTGGTGAAATGAGATGAGATAAATATTTTCAATAAGTATTGTGTCAAATAAAAGCAATTTTAATTATCTACCCTAGTACAGTGCATAGAAAATCAATGGCTAATCTTAGGTTTAGTCTCTAAATTCGTGGCTAGGCTAGGGGGATCCCGGCTCCCACTCCAGAGCTCCCACCTCCCTTCATCTGAAGGCTATCTCTCGCTTCAGTTTTTAAACACTAAGACTGAATTGAAGATTTTAGTTTGTCACCCTAAAGGTTCTCCAATTATACACCCAATAAAGAATATTTCCCTATTTATTTGTAGTTAATTCAATAAACGATGTTGTCCTTCATGGAATCAAATGTGATCCTTACTCTGTTGTAGAACTCATATAAAAGCAACTTCATACAACACTGATAAACAAACAATACTTATTTGAAAACTCTTGCCCAAAGCAATTCCTTTGTAGCCTTTTCTTAGAAATACAGGAAGATGATATCTCTCACTTTTCTCCTTCTCCAACACTCTTACAGAAAGTTTCACACTAAATCTCTCCACAAAAATTATAAATTATGAAAACACAATCACTAATTGACTCCAATATAGAAGTGGAATGGAATGATGTGGTGCGAAATGTGAAAGCAGAGGAGTGCTTTTTCTGATGAAATTCGGCCCCAAATAGAGCCCAAGGTCGGTTCTCCAAGAGGTGCCTCAAAAAACTCTTCAAAAAATCATCCAAATACATCGAACCTTCTAGAAACGGGGTCTGCACCGCCTTTGGCTCCATCGGCCTTGGTCTGGTGCCATCGACGCAGAGTAAAAAAGCATTGCGTTAATTTGTTCTGCGCCGTCGGTGCTGCCGGCACTGAGCATTTCTTAAAAAATGTCATTTTGACTCTAAATTTAATCCTTTTTGCTTTCTCTTTTATTTAAGCCCTAAAAATCAATAATATGAAAAAAAACATCAAAACTCCATCCATTAAAGAGCAATATTATCAAAAATAGGTATAAAATATGGGTCTAAAAATACATATATTTTTGGTGTATCAAAATCCCCCAAACTTACATGTTACTTGTCCTCAAGTAACTCCTTTACTACATAAAAAAAATGACTTATGATAAAGACCTTAAATTTTAAACTTCCATATTTTCATTTTCCAAATATAATAGTATAACTTAAGAAAAATTGAAAACAACTCCAGTTAATTAAAGGTGTAAAGATTACTAAAGGTGTAAGGATATTCAGTAATTAAGTCTAAGGTTCCTGATTCTCTATTTCTTTGAAGAAAAATTGCAATTTGTTATATTAAAGTCACTTAGCAAATTCATATGAAAAAGAATTTCATAAAACTTTATTAATAATTAAGCTAACATTCAAATAAAAAGTTTAGAAAATGTGTTCAAGCCTTTTTCCTTAAGTTGATTCAAGTGAAGCAAATTTTTAATTAAGCATCTCTTCAAGCTTCTCCCCATATATATATTTTTTTCATTTTCTTTTCTTTTCAGGATCATTTTTAATCCCCTTTTTCTTTTCTTTCTTTCTTTTTTTTTTATGTGAGGATTATTTATGTGAGGATTACTATATACTATCTCTGGATAGCCTTTAATGAATTTGAACTTCACTATCTTCTTCTTAAAGGTATAAACTTTTTACATTTGTTCACTTAACAAATTTATATTAACTTAAAGATTTCATAAAGTTTAATTCTTTTCTTTTTACATGAATATTTGAAGATTTTTAATACTTCAAAAATACAAATTTCCTTTACTACAAATAGGAAAACATACTCTTCTTCTCTTTTACCAAATATTTTAGCCCCTAACATTAACCTTTATTATTGAAATTTTTTCTTAAATTTACTATATATTTAGAAACATAAGTTTATTTATCCAAAGTTAACCTCTAATATCAAAGGTCATATTAAATTTAAAATTTTGAAAATAAAATTAAGCGAGGACAAATAAAATTAATTTCTTTCTCTCTTTCGAAAAATGAATTTTCATTTTCTCCCCGCCCCCCAAAGTTAAATTTTTAAAAGATTTTTACATGAAGAGCTTTAAAAATGAAGGGTAAAAGAAACAATTAAATACATACAAAAATTTATACCTGTTGGAGATTCTGATTTTGAACATAAATTTTGAAAATACTGCAGGTGCTAAAATGAAAACTACAAGGCTAAAAACAATAAATTGCACATAATACATATAAAATTTGTTCAAAAAGAGCTAATCACAAAACAAAACAAAGTGTTGAAAATAACAACATAACTAAACTAAATTCTAACAATAAGAATAGTCTTCCACATTACAGTTTCACATAACATAACAAACAAAGTCTAAACAACATCACAATACAAACAATACAATTACACAGTACAAACACAAAGAAACAAAATAGATCATCAGTCATCATCTTCCTCATCATCGACATCTATCTTCTGTTGCTGATATGGAGTATAAGTAGGGTGAATAGGGAACTGAACTGTATGGTCACTCCTCAGGTATCTCACTAAAGCATCATCATACTCAAATTTCTGGCGAATCAGATCATCAGTGTGAGCTTTTTTGGCCTCTATATTCTGTGTCCCATGATTCATCCTAGAAATATCTCCCTGTTGAATCATCATCTGGTCCAACAACTCCCTGTTGCTGGGGTCACTTGTAGTAGGTTCAGTAGGGGTTCTAGGAGTAGAAGGAATATCCTATGGCATGTCTTCCAAATCTTCAATCAATGTGTGACTCATAAGTCTTGATGTTGGCAGGCCCAATGGGTCTCTAAGGCTCAATCATCTCCTCATTAGATCTGAAATCAACTCCTGCATGCTCACAAAGTGTGTAAATCAGAGCAGGGTGCGCCAATCCACCAGTAGTCTCTCTCAGGAAATATATCAAATTTTCATATAATGGATAGAGCCTACATTTATATACAACATTTGCTGAATAAAGTAGTTCAGGATGGCTCTAACCTTGGTCACTTCACTATGATGATTCGTTGGAATTATCCTCCTAGAAATAAAATAGTGTCACGCTTTAGATACTACATTTAAACTAGTACGGGGAAGATTTACCCTTAACTTTAACTTAATTTTTTATTTTCCAAGCCCCTTTCTCAGTAGTCAGAAAAGAAATAACTTCATCTAAAGCCTGATCTGTAACAGAAAAAGAATGATAATAGCATCTATACACATCTTCTATAGAACAAAACTCATTTATTTTCTCTGGAGTAAATTCTACACTTTTTCCACAAACAAATACATAATCATCAGAAGCTTCAGGAAGGTTGGCATAAAATTCCATTTCAATCCCAGCTATCGCAACGACATTATAATAGTAGATGTTTTCCCATTGCCGAGCAATAATCAAATGTTCAACTTCTCCTCCTAGACTTTTAAAACCTCAATCTTGAATTAATTTCTTATTTTCACAAATTCTATGAAATCGAGGACTAGCTCTAATGCTAAGAAATCTCTCCTTGTCATACTCTACTTTCCTTTTGCTCGACCTATGTGCCATAGAAAATCTAAAATTTTTTGAAAAATCTGAATAAATTCTAAAATTCCAAAAATCAAAATGTAAAATATTTTAAACTTTATATCACTACATAAGAGTTCATCACCAAAGCATTTTCTCAAAAATTTCTCAAAATGTTTTCATATTTTCAGATCCATGCAAGGTGAGACAAATCCTTGGTGAAAATAAAAAAAAATTGGTTTAATGTGTAGCTCTTACCTAGAGAAGATGAAATCCGAAGTCTTCTAGCCTCTGAGGGTCTGTTTGGGGCCGCTTTTTTGCGGCCTCACGGCCCCAAATCGTGATAATTTGCTGTTTGGCTCGCAGCTTCATGGAAAAATAAAGTTAACGTGGAAGAAAAGCGGAAAGCCATATCCTCCCCGCGGCACAGCTTCGCAGCGTGAAAAAGGCTAGTTTTGCCCCTCACAAAAACCCCTCATCCCGCCTGCGATCTTCTTCTCATCCCGCCCTCAATTTAAGATCTTTTGCTGCCTTGTTGACTTTCGTTTTCTAATAAGATTTGTTTATTTAGATGTTCCTAGTTCTACATAACACTGAATTTTTATATATTTTCATATCTATATACATAACTCTCAAATTTAGGTGCGAGCTGCTTAAATCCATAATAATTATGTGCTCCGCATGTAAATTTCTCATAAAAAAATATTACAGGGTGGGATATATAAATTTGCTATATAAAAAAATAAATAAAAACTAACTTTCATATCATGTACTTCTGTTGGTAAAAAAATGACATGATTTATAAAGTTATCTTCAGTGGATTTTTGGCTTAGTTCTGTGTGATCACGAAAATTGAAAGAATTAGTTTGGAACGACATCTTTGTTTCTCTACTTTTACTAGTTTTCTTTTCCTCTTTTCTGTGCTATAGAATTCCTGCAAATAGACAATCTGTTGCAAGATCTAAAGAGAGCATGATAAGGTACAGTAGTGAGCTCGAGCGCAAGGTGAAAACGCTGCAGACTGAGGCAACTACCCTCTCAGCACAGCTTACTCTGCTACAGGTACTCTAGTTTCATCCATATATCTAACTGAATATTTTTAGAGTAAACCTTATGTAGGTCTTCCATTGCATTCTATAAATTTTATCGTGCTTTCTAGGAATACTTCATTTCCTATCATTCTGAGAATCATGGTACTACATAGTAATCACTTGTTGGGTCTTTCTACTTGGATCAGACATCTTTAACATTCCCATTTGATGCTTGTTTGCTTACATCACATTTTTCTTACTTTCACTTATAAATTATACTTGGAATAAGGTTATTAGAAGTTATGGTCCATTATGTGGTTCTAAGATGTTTTGCTTTTTAATTCTTTCATCTTTTATAAATTTGGTGTTCTGTTGTTTAAAATTGCAAAATGTAATTATCTTACTGTTGGAAATAATAACTATGAGAAATATATCTAATATAACTAGGAAGATAACTTCAAAATTTATTTCAAAGCTCCTTAATATTGTGGTAGTTTAGAGGAGCAATTAGCAAAGAAACAAAAATTAGGAGAGAAAAGTCAAGGACCTTCAGTACTATTTTATAACTGCGTATTCCCTAAATATTTATTTAACTGCATATTCCTTAAATATCTAATACCTAAACATTACTTTATTCTACTTTCTAATTGATTTTACTGTCGTGTTTCATGACTTTGTTTTGTTATAGTAATAACATGGATAGTAAGCCTAAAGAGATTGCTACACCCGCATTGTGGGAAAAAGATACGAAAATAATATTTTGCGATCTTCGTATTAAAGAGATTGAACGGGGAAATAGACCAATGACCCATTTCAATAAAGAAGGGCGAAAAAACATTATAAAAAATTTCAAGGAATGTACAGGCAGGGAATATGACAGGTTGCAAATGAAAAAAAAGTGGGACCAAATGAAGAAGGAATGGAAAATACGGAAGGAATTGAAAAGGGGTTCTACCAGTCTTGGTTGGGATCCAATAAAGCGAACAGTTGATGCACCTAATGAATGGTGGACTGAAAGACTTGCGGTGAGCTTTGTTTATAAACTTTTTTTTTGTAACTTTCTATTTTGTTATAATTGGGTGTCTACCAATTTTTGTGTAGGTGGTGCCTGCTGCAAAAAAGTTTAAACTTTCTGGAATTGAGCCTGAATTAGAGCAAAAACTAGACCGCATGTTTGGGGGAGTGGTGGCAACAGAAAACTATGCTTGTAGCCCAAGCAAGATAGGGTTCACTGGCAATGCCATGAATTTGGGAACCCCTGGAGGTTCAGTTGATTTCATTGACGTCCCTAGCCCAGATCAGAATGAATATGAAACTATTTCCAGTTCCAAACATCTGAGGGTTGTTGATAAAAGAAAAATTGGTGCTTCTTCTCTCAAAAAAGAGTTATCCGAGGCAGTTTCTTGTTTCAAAACAGAATGTCAGTCTTCTCATTCAAGCAGAATCGCGGAGACACTTGAAATCCTAAGTGCTACAACCAAAATTTATGCAGATGAAGAGCTGTATCTGTTCGCAGCAGGATTGCTAGAAGACCCGGTCCGTAGGGATTTCTTCGTGCAGATGCCTGCCACTCGCAGAGTGGCATATATTCAGCATTTTTACAATCGTTTGAACAATTGATACTTTTTCTATTTTTTATCACTGGAACATTTACACTGCATTATCTATTTTTTTTTCTAGAGTTGTGCTTGTGAACTCTGTTGTACCTTCCTAATTATTTGCAAATATTACTTTTTTTATTATCTTCAACTCTCATATAAATGATAATTTTTTAGGGGAAACATTTAGGGATACCCATCACTATGGATACAAATAGAAGAAGACGGATGGAAACCCACAAGGATACACACAAAAGAAAACAAAGAGGGATGTTTCTTACTACAATATGTTTGATGTACGTGTACTATAACACGTACATTGATCGATCGACATGCATGAAATCTTCTTATATTGGCGATAAATGGGTTAGAGAGTTTCTTGCATGGCACCCAACACGCTTTTGTAATATGTTTCGAATGAGCCAGACAATATTTATCGATATTCTGGACTTACTCGTAGGATCTCACGGTCTTCATTGATCCTCCAGGACCAATCTACGTGAGGTGCTCGCAATAACATTGTTCATATTATCCCAAAATGAGTCTATAAGAGGAGCGATTGAGCGATTTCATCACTCATCAAGAACAATAAGCAGGTATTTCTCAATCGGATTGAGCGCACTTGTTAGCTTGTCCTCTCATGTCAATAGACTCTCAAATTATAAGTTTGAGCAGATACTGGTTGAAATAGCACGTGGTGCATGATATATGCCCCTTTTCAAGGTATTCTCTCGGATTCATTATAGTTAACTTTGTAAGGGTTAGCAATGATATGTCAGACCTAACAATTACTCATCAGGACTGCATTGGCGCAATTGATGGAACACATGTTGACGCACGCATCCCAAATAGTGATAAGGTGGCATTTATCGGCCGTTGTGGTAGCCCTACCCAAAATGTCATGGCCGTCTGCAACTTTAACATGTGTTTCACTTTTGTTATGACTGTCTGGGTAGGTAGCGCACATGACAGTCGAGTTTTTAAATCTGTGACACGAGATCCCAATAACAACTTTCCACATTCACCTGCAGGTATGCTCGGGATCAAACTCATACAAATTGTTCAATTTATTAGGTAATTATTACTTGGGATCCCTAAAAAAACTTGAATTTGTGTACTAATTGTTCCATTTGTTAAGAAAGTTTTACTTGGTTGATGCTGGTTACCCATTGCAACGAGGGTATTTAAAGCCATTTCCGGATACGAGATATCACATACCAGACTTCGTACGTGCAAGTAACATCACACGAGGAAGAAAGGAAACGTTTAATAAACAACATTTATTGTTTCGTGGTGTAATTGAGAGGACTTTCGGTGTCTGGAAAAAGAAATGGGTGATACTCCGTGATATGCCTCCCTACAATTTTTTGAAGCAGGTACAGATGGTCTGTGCTACAATGGCTCTTCATAATTACATAAGAAGACATAATTCCCATAGCGATATCAACTTTCATTTGGCAGAAGAGGATGAAAAAAATGTGCATTCGGAAGCGTTTGAATACCGGCTAGGTCAGTCTTTCACAGAAGAAGAGACCGAGGCTTCCATTGCCTTCACCGTTGATGGAGAAGGTGCAAGCGAGATGACAGAGCTGAGGGAACGAATTATTGATGAGATAGTATGCCTATGAATGAATAATTTGAGAATTTATTAGTTGAATATTATTAAAAATATCGCTACTCTTATTTTTATTCAACTTCATATTTATCTATTCCGTTGTATGTCTGTGCCAGTATCTTCATTGTCCTTTTTTTTTTCTAAAATTAGGGTGTTTGTTTATATTTAAATTCCTATGTATTGATGTTATTAACACCTAAATTTATTATTTTAAAAAGTGAAATATACCTCATCATGTGTGGGTAAGTTGTAATACCATCCACCACTAATACCTAGGAATTGTGTGGTATGTTGTAAGATTAGTGTTAATTCTGGAAGTTTATTTTAGATCACGTGTATCTGTTGTTTACTGCTAGGAGTTCTTATTCCACATATATTTAGCTCCTACCAAGATTTATGAGGTTTCAGGATGTTCAAACTTGATCTCATATGAAGAATTGGAGCAGCCCTTCGTCTGTTTGGATTTCATTATACATTGAAGTTCAACTCCTACATAAAGTTCTGCTTTGGGTTAATTGTTTTTTGCTTTATCTAATGTGTTTGAGATTATCATTTTGTAGTTGTTGTTTCAAAGGTTTATATTGGTATTTGTCGCTATTTTTATTCCTGATATCTCTGCCACTTTTATTCTGCTTTTAGGATTCTGATAATTTCTATGTATTCTCCTTTACTTTTGTCTTCATTTGATCTTTTATGGAGTTGGTATTGAATGTTGGTCTTCTGCCTCAAATACAATTCCACTAATAGTTGTACCATCCACCACTAATACCTAAGAATTGTGTGGTATGCATGTAAATTTCCCTTTCAATTTTTATCTATTGGAATGATATTATTGAATTGTACATATTGTGTTCCTTTTCAGCTGATTTCTTTGTCTGAGAAGAGATGGTAATGTTCTTTCTTCCATTCATCTTTTTGATCCAACAAGAAAATATTGTGGATGGTAATTTATCATATAGCTCATTAAAATAAAATATATTCATGTTATAATTTTCTAACATCCTTAGGCACGCAAGTTCTCATTCATATATTTGTTCAATTCAACAAAAGGGTCTAGACATATATTACTTCTTTAGTCCTAATCACCTTTTCAAAAACATGTTGGTTGTGTGTAAACATTTCTTTTGTTCATTGGGGGCCCTTTATTCTTTTAACTTTGAAGGGCTTTTAGGTTCAATGGGTTTCTCTTCAACATCAAATTTCTACCAGGATTTTCATTCACAGAGTGACCTGTTTGATAACATTTATAACATATCTTAATAAAATTGTAGAGCAAGTTATGGTAGTTGTAAGTATTCTTTTAAAACCGTTATCAATGATGTCGTTATATCTGTTAGGATATACAAATACTCTGGCAAAATGGGCATTTTTAACATGGTGAAAGCTGAGAAGCCCCCCTCAACTGTATTTATGTTATGTGGTATTATTTCTCTTTTAAGATTGGGGCTGATTCCAGTAAGCGTTGTTCAAATACTCCATTACTTCAGAATGAAGCAACAATTATTCAAAATCATTAATTGTTGCTCGTTTTAGTGAAGCAGTTTTCTTTTCAAATTTAAATTATTAGTATAAAATTTATGTTGTCATTAGTGAATGTGGTGCTGATCATGACTATTTGTCTTACGAATGTGCTATCATTTCCACTTGTTTATTTCCATACCATCAATTAGATATTGTTGGTTGTTAGTGGAGTTGCAAAATGATTCTTAAATATGTTGAGGGAAAGGCTGGTAGGAATTGATATGCTTTTATGTAATAGTATACCGCTTATCTTTATATGAATATGTTGTATGCTCGGCATCTACAACTACCAAGGTGCGGCCTGTAGCTCTACCGAGTAGAAGAACACATTCCACTCCACAAACTTGATGACGCTGACCCCTACCATCTAGGGAAGTGACATCCACTTTATTTCCGTGGCTGCAGTAGATGCAAACTGGAACGACTATTCCATCGACTACCGTCATAACACGGGCGAGCTTATTCTACTACTGCAGAATGCAGCTTTGTCTCTTTCTCTCAATGTTCTAGAGCATGAAATATTCACTGCCTCTCCGATCCAAGTTTGTAGAATCATTCTGCATCATGTATTTACATATCTCACACCTAGACTTTTATACTTACACATAGCACATAAATATATCACTTTGTATTATTAAAATGCATTTTTTTAGGGGTAGGTAAAAAGCACTAAGGCGCTGTATTTATGAATATGAAACTATAGGTGTGAGATATTTAAATATATTAGAATTTTGTGATAGATATGTTAATTTTTCCCAACTTTTTTTCTGACTTGGAATGCTTTGATATGCAGGTTATGGCGCCTAGATTCAAGTTTGCTCCTCTTGGTCCGTTGGACATGTTCAATGCTTATGGTACAGTAGATGGGCTAAAATATGAAGTTTTGGGTGGTGCTGCTAAGTTTTTGAAGGTGGATTCCAAGCTTATGGGTCCGCAAAATGATGCTTTTATTCTGAAAGAAAGTAGGAACTATGTTATAGGGAGGGATTGGATGGAAGTGAAGGGTTGTGGAAGACTGCGAGCTTACTCTTCAGTTAAGCCTAAGATATGCTCATTGGGTGGCGAACATTCAGACATTAGAAGACTAAGATTTAGCATCGGTCGACAGTCGGCGATGTTGATTGTTGTTGTCCTTGAAATTCAGACATTAGAAGGTGGTTGATGTTGTTGTGAGACTAATAACATTAAAGATTTCATGCATTATTGGTGTTGATGTTTATTGTGATTGACATTGAGCATTAATATTAATTTGTACTTGTCATAGGGCGACGAAAAATAAAGCCCTTTAATATATACTGTACTTTTCTCATATATTTGTATATCTCACAACTATATCTTTTCATAGTTGCAAACATAGGCTCCAAATAATTACATCACATTAAAAATGCCAATATCATTTATCTTTTATAAATTAGATACACTTTCATGTGTAAGTTCTTCACACCAAGAATATTATAAATGTAAATATACAAGTTTTAAAGTTAGATATATAGATACATATAATTTATGGTGTAAATTTTCTCTTCTTTTTCTTTTTTTAAGTGTGTGTGTTTAAATAAAATCAATCTAGAGTACTGTTTCACTACAATTGAAAAATATCGTCCTCATAAGTTCTTTTAAACAATTTTATCAAACAGGGGCACTATGGTCATTTTCTTAGAAACAGCTGCCCCACAGCTATTTTAACACAGTTGCACCAAACAGACAGTCAGCTTCCCCGCAGCAGCTTTCTAGGGCAGCGCAAGGGCAGCGCAGTTCCTGGGGCAGCGCAGCTGCAGCTGAAAAGCTGGAAAGCTGCAGCTGCGCCAAACAGAGCCTAAATCACCTCAACTCCAACCACAATCAAGCCCGAGTAGCCCAAACCGAAGGTTGAAGATGAATTAAGC